GTTGCACTAATGTGAACTATTTTCTTCTTTTCATTATGTGTTTTTCCTTACTATAATGCACAACTTAGATTTTAAAACCCATCTAACTTGGACTTTTCTTTGCTTTTACATCATCAAGAAAGATTGCATTTTTATCCTATATCAATTTATTTGGGTCCTACAATACTGGAATTTTCTTGATCTAGTGAGAAATTCGATTTTGATGAAATTGAACAGCTTTATAGGCCATCAATGTTCTCAAATCTACTGGTCATGAAGGAATTATCAATTGTTCTCTGAACTTGCTCTAATGTGCAGGTTTCTTTTGGTGTTATTGGACTTGGTCTTGGTGTTTCACTTCTCTCGTGAGTATAATTAATTCATCATACTTTATAATATTGACTTTCTGTTGTCTAAATTGACAAAGAAATACTTCAATTAAGGGCTCTAATTTTGTAATTCATATATAGGCTTTCATATTTGTCCTGTCCTTTTGATTCTTCTGAGCCCCACACTTCTTTTTTTTCTCTCCCCTTTTAGTTTCATAGCAAACAAAAGAGATTATTGGAGGTCACATTTCCTTTCTTGCTTTCTCAGTTTTAAAAAAATAAATATAAATTCCTTTCTTGCTTTCTCATTTTTGACACATTTAATTTGACCTTAAGTCTACCTTGACTCTTCTGTTGTTCATTACACTCGACAGGTATGGTTTTGGGGCATATTTTAACATCCTTCCAGGTTCCGAGTGGTCTGCAATTATGTTGACATATGGTTTCCCACTTGCAATAATTGGCATGGCTCTTAAGGTGATCTTAGCTCTCCTCTTCTTGACCAACTTGCTTGTATGAAGTTAATAAGGCATAGGATCTCAGTAATGAATTATTGGATCCATGTTTCGAAGTATGTTCTGTCTAGTGTTGTTTAATTCACTGAAGCAAATATTTCTGCTGTCATGCATGAACGGTAGACACACCTTTAATCTGCCACCTTGATGATCCTGGTGGGGAGATCAGTTTCATTGGATAACTTACTCTCTTTTACTTTTCAGTATGCAGAGCTCAAACCTGTGCCATGCGTGACGTATGCAGATGCTGAACTACTAAGGGAAAAATGTGCCACTCCAGTCCTTAAGCAGGTAATGTTCTTCTGAAAACCCTCCTGTCACCTTGATGCCTTTCCTAAAGCACGTTAATGCATACCAAGAAGCTCTAACTGTTTTGGGAAGGGGTGTATTTTAGCATGGTTACTCAGCCAAAAGTTTGCGATAGGCAGAAGTCAAAGATAATAGTCCCTTCTGAAGTTAAACATCCCCCTTTCCTTTTCCAGCAGCCCAAAAATAGTTTTTAACATCCTGTAAAATACTATTTATCAAACCTTAGGCTACACCATGATTTCTTGAAGTCCACCTTACTGCTGTTAATAAAAATTATTTCTAGTCCACCTTTACTCCTCCTAATAGGCTAATACAATTTTTGTCCTCTTTTCTATTACCAAAAGGCCAAAGTAACAGTGGTCTTTTATGTTCCCTGAACTAACACTAAATGCTACTCTTTCCATCTCAATTTATGTGACACTGTTTGACTTGACACAAAGTTTAAGAAAGAAAGGAAAACTTTTGAAGTTTGTGGTCGAAAACATTCCTTGACCATTTGTGTGGCTATAAATCATTTCATTAAGGGTAAAAGGAGAAATTTTAAATTAATTTGTTTCTATTATAGTAATGGGACATTCTTTTTGGGACGAACTAAAAAGGAAAGTGTGCCACATAAATTGGGATATGGGGAGTATATACGTGCTATTCTTATCTTGATGACTATGAACCACAAACTTAGACATTCATTTTAATATACTGTGAGTAGCTTGTCGCTAGGTTAAGTCAAACTGCTACAATTCCTGATACGGTTCTTCTACTAAGATAAAATGAAGACAAAACACAATTGTTTCCTACTATTGATGATTTTCTACTAATACTTCCTTTTGATTGTACTCCTAGATTTCATTTTAGTTATTTCATATTCAGGATGGATCATTCTTCAGTTTACTGACTAACTAGTAATAGGATTTTCTTTCTATAAGGTCAGGAGCGATGTGATAAGATACCGTTATGGGGATGAGCAGCATTTGGATGAGGCATTGAAGCGTATTTTCCAATTTGGACTGGTAATTTCCCTTATCGTTGTGTTTAGAAACTGATTTTAATAAGAAGCAAACACTGATGAATTTTCTGGTGAAAATATAACAAATAAACATGATATGTCCCCCTTTTTAATTACTTGAGTTTTTGAATGAGGTGAGCTTCAGAACTCAATGGATAGTACTCCTAGCAAAAAGAAGTCTTTAAGTTGACATTGTATCTCCACCGCAAAACTCATCATTCTCATGGGCTTCGCCTATAGGGGAAAATTATGCACGCACCATGGTAAATGTTATAATTAAATATGTTTTGCATTCTAATAGTTGTTTACATAACTAAAGTTTTCATCATAGGTTGAGCAGCAAACTTTCTTGTGGCTATTTTTATTTTAGCAAGAACGGATACCCTGTTCTTTATATATTTTTCATTTCTAAGAATCTGCTAAATCCAGAAACTGCAGCAACGTGCTTTCTCCTTTCGAAAGATTCTTTAGCAACTTTTTTCCATATGGTGGAAGTGATTGATTTGGGTCTCTAAGAAGCCTTCTCGCAATTTTAAGCTTAAATTGTTAGCAGGCAAATACACACTCGTGCAAGTTCATTAATTAATAAAACTTGGAGAAAAGATGACACTAGGTTGTGATCAATTTTCAGGAATGTTGTTCAGATGGGCTAACCATTGACTCAATACCTATAAAATGAGTAAATTCATGAAAAGTTCATCCTCAAACTTCGTCGCATGATCCTCTTCATTTTTCGTTCTTTTGGTTCAATGAGTTTTGTCTTCCATCTAGCAGCTTCATATCAGCCTCACATATTGCCAGATTTATGCCCCAATTCTGACAGTGATGTACTTTTTTAGTGGAATAGACACAAAATAGCTTTGGCAACAAGAACAAAATCAGTTTATCTAAAACTTGTAACATGTGTTCAAAATATTCAATATGTTGACTGTCGGTCTTAAACATCAAGTCTATCTCTTGATAAAATTTTCTGACTACTCCTTTTCTTCTCTCTTTTTCGTTGCAGGGTGGAGGAATACCACGTAGAAGTGCTCCAATCTTACAAAATATTCAAGAAGAAGTATGCTCCTTGAACTTGATTATGTTTCTAATCAGTGATTTGCTTCCTCTTATGAAATGCTATGCTGAGTAGTTCTTTTATCCAATGTTACTCGGACCCTCCAAAAATGTTGTCGTTCCCGTGTCGGATCCTTCAAAAATACATAGCTTTCGGAGGATCCGACACACACCTGGTAGTATTTTTGAAGAGTGCGAGCGACATAGCTTTTGTCCCAAGTTAGACTTTAAATTTCTAAATTTTATAAATTATCCTCCCACCTAAATTATATATGAAGTCTCGGTGGATCCTACCATTCCACTATTTGGATCTTGACAGTTATATTCAGTTGTACCTTTTTATAACCGAGAAATCTCCAAGGACCAACCGGTCCACAGTTTGATACTCAGTGCACTCCTTTACCTTTTTCCACGTAAATACTGCGCTTTTGTCAACGGCAGCCTTCAAACTCCTCATGTGCACCTAATCCACACGTCACTGTTCTTATTCGGCTTTCACTAAAAAATTCGTGGATTTTCATCACTGTCCTGAAAGGATATCACATAACCAAAACTTCAATAATTCTGTTGTTTGCAAATAGCCTTATGCTTATTGAGTATCGTCATTTGTCAAGCTTGTTTTCATTTTCTTCTGATTTTTATTTCAGCTGCTGATTTCATTTGGTAATTTCTATGTTTCAGGTGACTGAGGATGGTAAATACTGTCTAGTGCTGGTCTTTGAGGCAAAAGCTCTGCAGTTATCAGATTTCGAAAAAAGACAGGTAAAACAAAGATACTGTAAATACATCCATCTCATCCATATAGTTTCACAACTAATCTGGTTAATTCTTGATAGGCAAAATTTACGTCTTTCTTTGGACCTGGAATATCGTCTGAAATTGGTTAGTTCTAAAGTTCGATAACATTGTTGACCTTATTTATGTGACTTTGAAATCAGACTTGTTTGGACTAATCTTCGTAACGTTGTGCTTGCAGTAAAGGGAGAGAATGATCTGTATGAAGTACGGCTAATTTCCAACACAACATTGTAGATTGTGAAAAAATCTTGTGACTCTTGGGTATATAGAGAAGGTCCACTGTGCCACATGAATATATTGATAATTTTTTCAGTCTGCACTGTACATTGTTGAACCCATAGGAAAATGATATAGAATGATGGAAATTATAATCCCACATGGTAGTAACTTGTATGAGACCTGCTCTTATTTACCTGTACAATTGTAATTTTTGAAAATGTGGTTGATATAATATACTAGTAATATTCAGAAATTGCTTGCAAGAGTCTGCCTACTATTCAAGAATTGATGGAAGTTTGTAAATGCTACAAGTTACCAATTTCATTTGGAACAATTTAGTTGGCCTGCATAGTTTGTAATGCCATCTTGTGAGCCTTATGGCTCCATTAGGGTAAGAAGTGTATATTTTACTTGATATATAAGCCTTTTGTTGACAATTTGATGCATTAGCTTAATGCCTTGAGCCAAAGTTCGAAAATCAAATGCTGCAACACTAAGATTGCAACATGTTCATCGATATGGAACGTGGCCATTCTTAAAACAATGGTGTCAAGGTCAGTTTGCGCACAATTGTTAGTGAACCATCATTCAAAGATGACACAAATCAAACTCACCTACACAAGATATACACACTAGAAACCCCGTGGCTTGAGAAAGACGACAAAGATATCTGGGTATGATAAAAGGAGGCTAAAAGATTGTGAACTATTGAATTACTCGAAAATACAAAGCTCATCAACATATGTGGATTGAAACTAGAAAGCCAACACATCAGTACACAAGAAATAGCAGTATTCCAACTCTAATTATTAAATGGCGATGCCAATAGCATCACAAACAAATTGTACTAAACATGTTTCTTTTATCAGACTAAAACCTGTTTTTATATCAAACAACTTCAGCAGTGATACGACGAGTCGTCGAAAATCACAAAATAAGGAGTACAAGACTAGGCTACTTAGGTATCACTGCTGCCCATCACCCGACTCTTGTTTTGAAGCTTCCCTGATCTCATCCTCGGCATCATCCTGGCAACAGAAAAACCATTGAATGATCAGATTGGCAATGATCAAAGCAATACGGCACATATTATTTGACATGTTAGTATTTCGCAAATCAATCTAGTCCATATCCTAGGTTGCACACAAAGGTCATCGTCTTCCTGACAAATCTTTTGCTTGTGTGCATGATCAGGAGAAGGAAAGTATAAACTATAATGCATCTGATTATCATTTCATGAAGGAAGCTGCTGTGTTGTTGGATGTGCATTTCAGAGAGAGAGAGAGAGCGAGTTTTACTGTGGTATCAGAGGTCCAAAGTGTGAGATTGTCTCGGAGAAGCTGCATAATCAATGTACTGTCCTTGTAAGATTCCTCACCCAATGTATCCAGCTCTGCGATGGCATCATCAAAGGCCTGATACGAAAAATCACTGTTTATTAGGTTTCTACACATCGATAGGAGCATCTTCTTGCTTTTCTTTTTCTTTTAATTACAGTGCTTTTGCAGGGCTCAAAAACTACATATCACTGGCAGATAAGAAGAGCAGTGAGAATGGGAGAAAACTACACCTAGAAAGTACAGACAGCCAGACCAGTATTTTAAAACATAGAAAGGGACAAAATCCTAACATGCCTCATTGAACCTTGTACATGAAGAAGTACTATAACCCCAGGTCGCTAACGCCCCAAGACAGCAGGGAAAAATAATGCAAAAGATATGAATTCCTCCTTTCAGTTCGAACAAAATAACCAATTAAAATTTTTGGTCCTAGAATGCAAAAACCACTTTGCTCCAACCTTCAGTCATAAAAACACATGCGACTGATGACTTCTTTCAATAAATTAAAAGGTGAAAATATAACCACTTAATGATTGAATACCAAACTTCATTGTCCTAGTGATGCACTAATGATAAAGTTAATTCACAACAAAAATTACGCCTCAGTCCTAAATCCAAAGCTAAAGTTGATCCCTTTTAAAATTTCACATGCAATTTGAATTCAGTAAGGATACCTACTCTTTCGTAGTCTAAGCAAGATCGACCAATCACATGTAAGATAATAATATTAAGTTAAATAAATCAACATAAGCTGAGAAAGATACCTGCTTTGCAAGGTTACAAGCACGATCAGGTGAGTTAAGAATTTCATAATAGAACACTGAAAAGTTAAGGGCAAGTCCCAGTCTGATTGGATGAGTAGGAGTCAGTTCAGCCAATGCTATATCCTATCACAAGACACAAAACAACTTGAATCATTGTTATATACATTAACCAGGTGATGCAATGAACAGGTAACCGTGGAGCACCTACCTGAGCAGACTTGTAGGCTAATAAAGTGTTCTCTGCAGCTTCTTTCCTCTCTGCCCCCGTCTTGAACTCAGCCAAGTACCTATGGTAATCACCTTTCATCTTCAAGTAAAACACTTTGGACTCGGCTGTTGAGGCTGATGGTACTAAATGAGACTCGAGAAGGCTCAAAATCCCATCACAGATCTTGCTGAGCTCGGCCTCAATTTTGGCTCTATATTCTTTAATGCTGCTAACATGGTCTTCATTTCCTCGGCTCTCCTCTTTCTGCTCAATTGAAGATATTATCCTCCACGAAGCCCTTCTTGCACCAATGACATTCTTGTAAGCCACAGAAAGAAGATTCCTTTCCTCCACAGTCAGCTCTTCAACATCTACCTTTGCAACCTTCTCCATAAACTCAACCATTTCCTCATACCTCTCAGCCTGCTCAGCCAACTTGGCCATGTACACATTTTCTTCACGTGAATCGGCCATGTTTGTTGTCTGTAAAGTTACCTGGTTCAACAAAATATCCAGGTAACTAAAATTGACGGATACTAGAAAATATTGATTCTATTCATAGCTTGACTCATGTTTGGAACTAAGTAATGAACATCCTCCATACTTATTCCTTGAATATTTTTGGGACACTTTGAAGGCATTTGGACATGATTTGGATGAGATTAGAGGAAAAGTAGTTATTGAAGTTGAAAACAATATTTGGAAGTTGAAGTTGTGTCTGGACATGAAAACAAAGTAGACGTTGTAAGTGTAAACTTGAGCTAAAGGTTGTGTTACGTTATTGACGAGTCAAATTCCACCTTTATAGTCGACTTAAGAGAACTTAATCCCATCTAAGAAGTATCTAAATAAAATCTCATTATAACTATTCAAAAATCAAAGAGTTTTGTTTTAATTAATAGAGTTTCAGAAATTATAAAAAATTCATTGTTAATTTGAATACTAGATTGTAAATCTTATTCCAACGGCATATGATAGTATGATACACAAATATTATACATGTTTACCCTCTTACTCTAAACATTGTCAATTTGTCATCTTTCTTTGATGGAGGGAGCATCACTAGAGCTAAAACGGAAACAAACCAGCAATATTAACAAACTAGCTTAAAGAAGGCCAACTTAAAACAATCAAGTAGTCAAAAGTTAAAGATCTTAATTTTTGTTTGAACTCGTAACATATGAATTGCAGTGAACAATCACCTTACATCCAAACCATTAACATATGGATTTGACTTATATTTACTGATAGCCTAAGAATAAAATTATCACTACAATCTAATTGTTGTAGAAGTTATTTTCCATATGTTCTACTAGGTTATTAGTTGTAAATAGTTTTTAGATGACCTAATAGTGTCCATATAGCTAAGGAGCGCAGGGTTCGATTCCTCAAAAACAATCTCTCTTTCTACCTCACTATGTTTGGCCACAGATTTTGAAGTTGAAACTTGAAAATTTGTGTTTTTGAAGTTGTGTTTGGAGTTTGGACATACAGTTAGTTAGATTTATTTTTTTGATGTTTGTGAGTGAGTGAAATTTCTCCCAAAAATTGATCTAGACTAATTTTTGGAAAAAACTATTATTGAAGACATATTTTCTAAATCTGATCCAAAATCTATGGCCAAACAAATTTGGAGATAAATTTTCACAATCTAATATAAAAGCTATGATCAAATGCTAGCCAAGTTAGATGTAAAGTACGCGTATATCTCACCGTAGTTGGACTCCACTTGTGAGACTACACTAGAAGACATCTGGCCATGGACATATTTTACTCCCTCTGTCCCAATTTATGTGGAATTCTTCGTTTTTCGAGAGTCAAATAGTTCAAGTTTAAACGGAAATTTGTGCATGGAATCTTCAATTTTTTTGAAATGAAATTTACATATTTGTAAATTACGAAAAAAGTACTGTAAGTCATAATAATTGACAATTCAAAATAATTAAAAGATATATGAAAAATTTTCAGTCAAAGATAGGCTTGTTTTGAATCTAGAAATCTGAAAGGTGCCACATAAATTGGGAAGAGGGAGTATTTTTTTTTCCGGAGTTGAACTATATGTAATTGTTTTCTTTATTCATTTATTTTGTTTTTAAACATTGGATGCAAGGAAAGGGGAAAATGAGGGAAAGGATTGATTATAAGCTGAGGAACCAAAGCTCATCAACGAAGTAAAAGTTCATATAACCAACCAACTAAGCTACATTCCCTTATACATGTTGTTGTTGTTGGGGGTACGAGGGGAAACGAACACCTTGTTTGGATGGTTGTTACCCATTGTATTGTTAGCTTAAATACGGTGTTTGTTTGATTTTTACTTAAATTCTATTATATCATATTGTTTAAATCCATTGTTAGAGAACGATGAAAAAACTCATTTATATAACGACCAATTTGATATGATCGCGTTGTTACTTTAATATTTTCTTCTCATTTTGTCTTTATTTATCATTAAATAATCATATTTCATCTTTTATCTTACCTTTTCATAATAGCACTAACCTTAGCTATTTTCCTTGTAGTTTTATTATTCAAATTATGGATGTGTGACATTATGTAACGACCGAGAACGATACAATCTATCCAAACATTAAATTCATTATAACAATACAATACAATAGAATTCAACACAACACAATACAATACGATCAGTGGCGGAGCCAAATTTTTAATAAGGGGTTCAAAATCTGAAGAAATAGACACGAAGTAGCCGAAGGGGTTTCGACATCTACTATATATCTAAAAAATTATGTTAACCATGTATAAATAATATAATTTTCCGCCCAAGAGTGTTTGGATGAACCCCTAACTATAAGGTGGCTCCGCCACGGAATACGATACATTATGAAACAATACGTAACAACCATCCAAACAAAGTGGAAGACTTAAAAGGATTATTGAACATTTATCTATAGGTGTCTTGTCTATATGAAGTAGAGGGGCCAGCAACAGAATTTAATGGTATACCTCTAAATCTGAACCAGTCAATAACATGAAAAATGAATTGGACAATGTACCTGGTGATTGATGTCTCTGACGAAGAAGAAGAAGACGAGTCCAATAGAGGGATATTGAATGAGAAGGGAAAATGAAAATTTTGAAGTGAATTTAAAGCAAAAAAAAAAGGGTTATTGAAGATTTACGTGTTTCACGGGTTGACCCGTTTTAAAGGACTGTTTGGTGTGGCTGCTGGTTGGAGTCGCGCTGGCTTTCACGGTTTTCTTTTGGGCTAGTTAACTCCAAAACTACACTTTTTGACCATTTTGTATTTGGCCTCCTCTTTTTTTCTTTTCTTTTTTCGATTCGAGTTAATGTGAAATTAATCTTGATTGAGGTTTATTCTAACACGTATTATGTTATTGTGATTCGTAGATAATAATGACAGATTTATTCTAACACGTATTATGTTATTTGTGACATATTGACCTATATTATGAGGTTCATGACTTTTTTTATCACTTCACCAATAGAAAATGATTCATTTTTAGGGGAGTAAGGGGTATTCAAAAAGGGGCCGTGGATATTCTAGGTCCCCCTTCTCAGCTACTGAATCATTATAGTGCTCTGGGTTCTATAGACCATTTACCATCCATTGCATCACAGTCGTTTTAAGGGTAGGGAGCTAAGCGTAGTTTTTTCTTTGAATAGACAACTGGTCACAAAATAATCATTTGAGTAAGTATTGGTGTTGCAGTATAATCTCGACTATAGGCTATTGTTAAAAATATATCCACCTAAAATTGTTCAAAAATTATAATCCCTAGAATATAATCCACAAATAACTTATAATCCAAGAATTTTAGGCTATTGTTACAAATCTTTGGGGTTGCTTTTTTCAATAAACGTTGGTTACATATCTTTATGTTATTTGTACTAGTAACCGGCTTATGGATGAGTGCTATTGGAGTAGTCAGTCTAGCGCTGAACCTACGTGCCTATGACTTCGTTTCTCAGGAAATTCGCGCAGTGAAAGATCCTGAAATTGAGACTTTCTACACCAAAAATATTCTCTTAAACGAAGGTATTCGCGCTTGAATAACGGCTCAAAATCAGGCTCATAAAAACCTTATTCCCTGAGGAGAGGTATAAATACATAAATATCTACCTAAATTAGCCTAAAATTAGTCCAAATAATCAAACAATAACCCAAAGTATATTCCCAATACTAAAGTTTTCTAAGTTAATTTTAGGTGGATATTCAATAGTTTATAAAGTTTAGTGTCATGATCCGTCACTTTAAAGTCTAAGTCTGAGACATTGGGCTATGGTTTAAATAGGTTACCCCAACCCCCCAAAAATATATCCGGGTCGGGTTATTCCGTCGGACCTTGTTTCTTATCTAGACTTTGATGAAGAACACAACACAATGACAGAGAAGGTTTGAGTTTCCTCTCTCTCTCCGATAAATTAGCTGTTGAAGATGATGTCATCAATGGCTACACAGCCTACAGTGAATTGGGTTCCTGCGTTTTCTTCTCAAAACCAATTTTTTTCACCCAAAATTGTCTCCTTTACAAAGGGGCAGTCTTATTCTCGACGTTCTAATGTCTCAGCAATCGTACCCAGAAGAAATCTTGGCGTTTTTGCTACTTCAGCTGCGGCTGCCGTAAGTTTTGCCGAAGAAACATCGACCCATGATTCTATTTCCTCGGATTCTCATCAAAAAGAGGTAATTTTCACTCTCTAACTTTCCTCTTAGGTGTCGTTTGGTAGAGTGTATAAGAATACTATTGAATATGATGTATTAGTAATGCTGAATATGGTTTGGTTTCTGTTTGTTAACCAACAACACCTTAATGTTTAATTTTTTTGCCTTTTTGGTTAGGCTGTGCACAATTGACCCTTGTTTTCGGGCAGGAGTTTAGTGCACAGTAGATGGTCCAGAGGGAGCTTAGTGCATCGGGCTGCCCTTTATAATTCTTTACTTTTTTGTTGTATTGTGGGAAGTGAACCATCCTCTTAATGTTTAAAGATTTTACACCCAAGGGTGTGTCTAAACTGTCAATAGAACTAGAATGAAAACCATTATAATGGAAGACCATGTAATAATCCAGCAGAGGCACTCAAGAATAATACGCATGTAGTTTCTTCCTATTTGTACTTGTGGGAAGATGTAGGTTTTCGCCTGGAAATTGGAATACTAATTTAAAAAAGAAAAGTTGTAAGCTTAGGATAATGGGGCATATTTATTTTTGGAAAAAGGGCCAATTTTTCTCTTGAACTATTTGAAATAAGATTACTTTGTTATCTATTTCCCTTTTTGGCACAAAAATACCTTTGCCATTAGCTGGCTTGAAAGTCCCTTTGTTACTATGCCCATCATCGTGTAAGTTGATCTAAGTGTGAGTTTGTATTCAGTTATATTGTAACATTCAATTTCTCCTTACTAGCGTACAGTAGATATTTGATTTAACTTAATACTATGGGAACATTGTTTATATCTTTTTTCAGTTGACATGACAAAGGTCTTTTTCTGAAAAAGATTGCATTAGTTTGTGAAGATTTGCTATCAAGAACAAGTTCTTAATACCTGATCAATATTCATTAATGACGAAGCAAATGAATTTGTTTTCATTAGGGATGATTTATAAAATGTTAAACATGACCAGAGACCTCATTGGTTCCAAAATTTTGGGGGTGATAATGACTTTGTTGTAGGGACTGGAGGATAACTTTGTCCCTTTTCCATCTGAGTTGGGACAACCGTTAGTGAGGAGGGAAATTTTGAGCCACTTGACTAACAGCGTTGGCATTTTTGTTTCATAAAATGAAATGGAGGACATAATTGTCCTATTTCAAATAGTTAAAAAGCAAAATTGGTCTTTTATCTTTATTTATATTATGTCTGCGAGACTGCGACAGATATCCACAGGTTTGATTTGTTTTCTTTTCCGATTCTTTTTTCTTGAACCAAGTTGATGGATGATGGTTCAAACTAGTGCATCTGTCGTTTTAATACTATGTTGTGTGAATGTCTCATTTAGTAGTTTGACCTGTTAAGAAAAGAGTGTTTTTATTTATTTTGTTATGTATGCAACACGTCTCCTCGGATCTGTTTCTTTTTCTTGGACCAAATTGATGGCTGGTGGTTCAAACCAATGCATCTGTATGCTTTAATACTATACTGGGTGAATGTCTCATTTAGAAGTTTAATGGTTAGAGAGGAAATGCTTTGATTTACTTAGTGATGTCTGCAATATCTTTATTTTGGTGTTTGATTCTCATTTATTTAGTGTTTTTTTTCCAATATTTTTATCGAGAATTTCGTTATATTTGCAACATTTTCATTATGGTGTTTGGCTCTTACAATCTGCTGGATGTACAGAAGCTCGGAGTGGTGGTCAAGCCACTGGAGAAACCTAGGCTAGTGTTGAAGTTTATTTGGATGGAGAAGAACATCGGAATTTCACTAGACCAGGTAATTCCTGGTCATGGCACGATTCCGTTGAGCCCCTATTATTTTTGGCCTAGAAAAGATGCCTGGGAGGAACTTAAAGTCATGCTCGAGAGTAAACCATGGATATCCGAGAAACAGACGATTATTCTTCTTAATCAGGCCACGGATATCATCAATTTGTGGCAACAGAGTGGTGGTGATTTAGCCTAAGCCTTCATAGAGCAAGATTTATCATGCCGCCACTGTTCATCATTTATTTTTAGCTATCATGCCTATTATGTTGCATATGTTGTAACTTTTTTCACTTGAAAGGTCAGTCAAACTTATTCAATTTGTTTGTTTTGATTTTCCTCTGTTTTCTTTTTAGTTTTTGGATCATATGTATCTTATAATGTTAGCCTTGGTTCTTCATGAATATTAACATCTAACAGAAACAAAATTAAATTGTACTGATGGTAGGAATTTATCTATGTTGAGTATCCCACATCGTGGGGATAGTACGGTCATTTGGTCTCTTTATATAGTCTTGGCTAATCCTTCCCCATGAGCTAGGTCCAAGTTCCATTTCTTATCAAAGGTATCAAATCCAGACCCATCCCAATTCATCGTTTCCGATGTTGGCCCCATCATATATTGTCCCATGGTCCAGATGTCTATCCTTGGGCATGGGGGGTGTTGAGTATCCCACATCGGTGGGGATAGGGTCATTTGGTATCCCTATATGATCTTGGACTATCCATTCATGAGCTAGCTTTTGTAGTTGAATTAGGCTAATGATTCATATTTCTTACCATATTGCTTGGGGTTGAACAACAACAATAACATATTCATCCCATAAGTGAGGTCTGAGAAGGTGGAATGTACAAATTTTATCTCTATCTTGTGAGAAGTGGAGAAGTTTTTTTTAATAGATCTTCGGCATGTCTATCTCCTTTCATGTATCTCTTTGAAGCCTTGTCCTTGCACAATCCATATCTTATGGTCGAGGCGGAGTCAAGATTTTTAATGTATGGGTTCTCGATCATAACTTTTTTTTGCTTATTGGGTTCTAATAAATTATTTATATCTATCAAGAAATGAATTTTACTACTATATTCGTAGCTCAAGCTATGTCTCCGCCTTGGTTGTGGTTACATGCATGGATGCAATCATGTTTTTTTATTATTGTCATGCTTGAAATTATATTATTGTCTCACCATTTGTCTTGATTAAGCTAGAATTTTTTATAATCGTTTGCAAACATATATTTTCTTATATACTAATGATATTATGTATAAAACATGCATATTTTGTTCATAATTAGTGTATTTTTTGTATATTGGTTAGCGGATGTAATTATTTTTTAATCCAGCGGCCTGATCTGTTAAAAGCATATTTGGGTCTACAACATTTTTGTAAATATCTAATGTGTTTTTAAGAAAATAGAAACATTGATCATTGAACAAGGACGGAGGTAGAATATTACTTATGGATTCAGACAAATTCAATAACTTTTGCTTAAATCCTATATTTACACTAACAAGTTTACTAAATATGTATAACTACTTAATTGAGAACTTATTAACTAAGATGAGTTATGCGTTCATTAGCAAGTTAAAACCTTTAATAAACTTCAAATTTTGGCTGTCTTTGAATTAGGGC